GGGGGGGGGGGGGGGCAATGCAGTAATCTACCTGATTTTACACTATTGTAAAAATTTACCTGAAAATATAAACCCCCCCCTATCTTTGCGGATTGCAATGTTGTGGTGCATTTCTCCCCTGCACAGTTATCACCTAGATATTTAACCCACATTATCTATTTTTACAACATCTTTTTATTACTTTCCTAATCTACTTTTTCTCATTAGAATATGTTTGGGTTATTTTTGTTCTTCTAAATTAAAGAGTATAAGCCACACGAGAAGAATATGAGCATATACAAACCGAGTACTCCAAATAGCACTCTCCACTCGGCATTTTATCAATTAGGAAGTTAAATCTAAAATACTATAATTACATTGATTAGTTACCTCTTCGTCTTTCAACAACTATAGTCAATTTTAACAAGTTTTTGTCGAAGCAGTCCATCCGCACTTTTTATGTAGGAAAAAGGAACGACAATTGTGAATTGTTGTAATTTAGTTAATAAAATTAATTTGGAGCTGAACTAGAACTACGTTTCCCTTTACAGTGAACAATAATGTTATATAGCAGCCTTCGTTAACTAATGTTTTTAACCTTCAATAGTAATATAAGTTATTGTTTTCAAGCAATCGCTAATCGGCGGTTTTTCAAGATTGACCATTTTTTTGCGATCGCAGTAACATCAACGAAATCAGTGATATCTTTTTCAGCGGCAAGGATCATGCAATCATTCAAACGTTCTCCAGATATTTTATTGCGTGAATAACTTTTTACAATCTTCAATAAATTGAATGATCTCTCATTTTTCACAACGGCAGGGGCGGCTGTCAGAAATAGATTATAAAGCTTTGAAGCCAACTTGAAAAGACCATGCTTTTTAGCCACCTTAAGAGCAATGTTTGCAGCGATTGTACATGTCATGGGTTTTGCCTCAAGACCTTGTGAGTTGTGACTGACGTTCTTCTTCCATTCGTCTATGTTCCTTCAGCGCATATTCAAAGAAAACGAACAATTCACTGTGTAATGCTAAGCTTGATTCCTGCGAGAACGCAGACGGGAACGCACCTACTAATTCTTGCACATTCTGGATTGTTCCTGGTGTTTCTGGATGCAATACCTTTAGGAACGGATTAAAAGTGTACTTAAGACAAATTTGTTTCTCCATTAATGTGGTGCACATTTGATCCATGAACTTGAAAAATTCGGCGCGATAAAAGGTGGATACGTTCGTTAACTCAACTGCAGTTGTTTCTGGTTGGTCATCAAGGCGTCTGGATGGTCTCCTTATTATGTGTAGTCTTGAGAAATCAGCAATCGGGTCAGCTCCGACATTTCTGGCCACTTCAATTGCAGCTAGGACTTGGTCGATCTCTTTGTCAGCCATTCGGATTCTCCGCAGACAATCATGTGTTGACTCCATTGCAATGAGCGCGCTAGCAATATCAACTGTCTCTCCTTGAAGATAGTCGGCAAGTGATTTCGTCTTGTACATTACATTTTTTAAGAACATCATTCCACAGATGTTAACGATGTTAACAATCATGTTAATCAGTCCTGCTGCTAATGTCTTTGAGTCTGAATCGCCAGTTTTCGTAATTGCGTCGAGAGCTGATAAAACGGCTTCCACAGATTCGGGCCGGGCTGTCCATCTTGTTTTGGAAAGGTTTCGCAGCTGCAAGTAATTTCCAACTTCTTCAGATTTCTACTTCAGATGTTGATTCCTTTTTGGGCTATCAGTGAAGAAGACAAAAATCTTCTCCAAAACCGCAAATACTTTACCAATTAATCGTGAGGCTGAACAACCGTGCTCTCTCACTTATAGCTTCTGTTGCGCGCCATTAAATCTTCCTAACATACTGGCAGTTGAGTCGTAGGTGTGAAACATAACAGTTAACAGTGGTATGTCCGATAGCTTCAGACACTTTACCTGATTTATTAACGCCAGTTTTTCATGGATTTACCTGAAATTTTCAAATCGTCTTAGTTGGGGGG